GACGAACTAGTTCTCTTCACCAGAAGTTCCCTGAAGTGTTTCTCTCCTCACAGATACCAACGTGATCCGGTATATCCAGCTGACGGAGATGAAGCTCAGCAGATGCTCCCAGCGAGAGAAGGAAGCCATGTAACTAGGAGCCTCTCCAGAGCTGTGCCTACGCCTGCCTGCCCTGTGACTTGTAGGCACCCCTAGTGGAGACACCTTCCCTGGTCTGTCCCTTTCTCCCCACCACCTTCTGGCTCTCCCTTCTTCCTCTGCTCCTCAGCTCTTTGTCTATTCCCAGTGTGAAAGAAAGAGAAACTCAAATTTGGAAACTGGTGGGTTGCCCAGAAAACAGAGAAATCTCTTCTTTAGCAGGTCAGTGACAGAGAGGGGCCTAGCTTCTGTGGAAGAGTTGCAGGGGAGTTTCTGAGGCCGTGAGTGATATTGTGGCTTTGACTTTGGCCAGTGCTTCTGACAGAGGCAGAGCCTATCAGATATACCATCACACAGGCAACAGGCCCCGAGCCCATTGGGCTGGGTCCTTCTATACCTTCCCGACAGAACAGAGCATCTCGAGCCAATTGTGACAAATCTAGGGATGAGACACGCACCGGAAGCGTTGGCTAAGCCAACATAAGACTCTGAATTTGTACACTGGAGTACCTCCCAGTATCAGCCCCTGCCTCCATCCCTCACTTGTTGTCTTGGCTTACAAGTTTCTTCTCTCCCCCTCAGGGATCCAAGACTCTGCCAGAATTCACATGCCACCGAAGCCCACTCTCAGTGCCCTTTGGTGACCGCACATACCATGCTCCCATACTCCCACACAGCAGGCAGCTGAACAGCAGAAAGGCAGAGTGAAGTGGGCAGGGCAGATCAAACAGGTGGTGCGGGGGGAGGGAGAGATGTCACTTAGTGGAAAGAGCACTGTATAGATTGGGGGCTTGAATTGTGGACTAATAAGTGTAAATAAAAATAAATTAACAGGCAACAGTTCCTGTCATTTCTGTTGGAAGCAGCTCACTCCCTCACTTTAATTCTCTCCTCCAGCCCTCAACCAGGGCTGGTTACATACAGATGGGCGGATGGAGCTTCCCCCAAAGCAGCTGGCCATTTGTCCATTGGTATCAAATGTTGGCTGCAGCCTTTGTACTTTGAGAGTGGGCTGGGAGTGTGGAGACTGCCCAGTGGCTTGGCTTTATTGAGACTCGTTGTTAGTGGCCATTGAGTGGATTCAGACTCATGGCAACCCCTTGTGGGCAGAATGGAACTGCTACATAGGTTTTTAGGTCTGTGACCTTTTGGAAGCAGATCACCAGGCATCTTCTGAGGCACCCCTTGGTGGGTTCTAACTGTTAACCTATTGGTTAGTACTTGAGCGCTTACCCATTGGAGCCACCCAGGGATTCCTACATGGGGACTTGTACAGCCTCTTTTTGATGAAATTATCTGAACTCAATATCTAGCTTATAGAATGTGTTCAACAAATATTGAACGAAGAAATTGTTAACTGCAGACTGGCTCTCCTGCCTTAAACTAATTCTATGCCAGCCAAGTCTCCTGATATCTATGATATTTACTCTGTACTGTACCGCTTCAGTCAAACATTTACTGAGGGCTTATGATTTGCCCAGAGGAGCTCTGGCAGTGCAGTGGTTAAGGCATTTGGCTGCTAACCAAAAGGTCAGCGGTTTAAAACTACCAGCCACTCTGTGGGAGAAAGATAAGGCAGTCTGTTTCTGTAAAGATTTATAGCCTTGGAAACCCTATAGGGTAGCTCTGCTCTGTCCTGTAGGGTCACTATGAGTCAGAATTGACTCGAAGGCAGTGGGTTCGATTTTTCGGTTTTTATTGTTTGCCCATCAAAGTGCAATATGCTGTGGGACAGAGGTTGCAGTCCCAATCCACAAGGAGGTAGAGGAGTTGAGAAATACGCATATGACATTATTGCCAATGACACCTTTAATTTATATGATGCTTTAAATTTTTCAAAGCACTTTCATGTATTTTTTCATGTAATTAGTGACGGAGACAATATTGTATAATTAAAATATATACAGATGCAATAATGTTAATAGTTAGCATTTATTAAATGCACTATCTTCAGATCTTTACCTGTATAATCTCATTTCTTTCACGCAATTATCCTATGAGACATTATTCCCACTTTATGAATAAGAAAACTAAAACTCAGAAGAATTAACTATCCTGAGGTTGCATGGCCCTACGTATCTGAGCTAGGATTTGAAATGGTTCTGTCTGACCCCAGAGCTCTAGCTCTTAACTACCCTACGGATTGCCACTGCACAAAGTATTAGGTTGAACAATTTTAACCATTTCAAAGCAGGACTATGTGGAATAACATGAAAGCCATGACCATAGTAATGTTGGTTCATGGGTCTTCTCTTGTATTTAGCCTAAGGCAGAAAAAGTTCCAGAGACAAGACTCCCTTTTCTTCAGAGAAAGGCCTGGAAAAGATAGCTGAGTCCCAGCAAGTATTTTTGGGTATTGTTTGTTCTACTTGCTGATGGGCCAGGACTATATACACACAACCCACCTAGCATTCCTCACCCCATCCTCAGCATCAGGGAAGAGTCACAATTATAGTTAGAGAAAGGAAACACAAAGTTAATTATGGGTTATTTGTTTAAACAGAGGTTCCTCCTCTGTGGGATCCAGTCACTGCCCAGAGGCTCAGAAGGCAGCAGCATAGATTGTATTCACACAGTTACCTAAAGATTTTCAATGGGGGCTGCAGGAAGGTGCTAAAAATATTCAGGAGCCCATAGTCACTTGCCTACAGCTCACCCTCTGGAGAAGACAAAAAGGGGAACACCATTCCAGCTACTGCATTCTCTTCCATCCCTACTGTGTCCTTTTCTCTGCTCCCTTTCTCCACAATGACTTCACATGGTCTCAGCTGAGTACTTCCTGAGAAGCAGCATAGTTATATGTGGGAAGTGTCCTCACCCTAGACCTCCAGCCCAGAAAGTGCACGCGTTGACCAACTGCTTGTTAGGAGCTGAAAGATGAAGGTGAGGTCAGAGGTGGCTTGCAGGGCCTGTTCCAACTGACAGGCTCTCCTGTTGGTCATCGGGCCATCAGGAAGGCCTCAGAGTAACTATTCCCAACATGGAGGCAGGAGAGAGGTCTTGCCTAAACAAGTAAGTTGAGGCAGGACTGGACAGATGGGGAGATTTTTGCTCTTGCAAGGAGATTGGTTGAAAACCAGTACGAAGTTAGGGCAACTTCATAGAATAAGTGTATAGTCCATCTGCTTGTCTGATGACTTAGATACACTGCTTAGGGAACTCTATTCACTCCGACCCAAAGTTAAATGATCCCAGAGAAAAAAAAGCTGCCTGGGGTTTTGGTTGAGGATGTTTGGGAGTGGTGTTCCTGAATTATCTGTGTATATTTATCCAACAGAAACTCCAAAGAGCTGTTAATCAATATCAAGTCCCTTCACCTCACCAAATCTTCAGCTTCCTTCTTCTCACCTCTGCCCAAAACAGGGAATGTCAATAAATTACACACTTTGTTTGCAGATGTCACTGATGAACTATACATGGAATACTAACCTGGACCTGACCTGCTTTGTCATTTCCTTGGACTTTTATGGTAGACTCTTTGGGTGAAAAGCTATACTTTTAATTATGAAAGCATTCCATGTTTATTGCAGAAATTAAAAAAAAAAAAAATGTAAGACAAAACCCATAATTCTACCACTCCAGATAAACATTGTTATCAATTCTAATATATCTGTTGGTTCTTTTGGATGTAAATGTTCACATACACATGCATATGGTTTTGTTTTGTTTTGAACAAAAGTTGGATCATACTGTATATACTCTTTAATAACCTGCTTTTTAAAATGTGTATTTGTGTTTTAGGATATATAATACATACACAGATTAAAATTCAAAAAGTACAGATGACTCTATGGTAAGAAGTACCTCTTCTTCCTGGCCTATGTGCCAGTCACCCGGTTTCCCTCCAATTACCTGTCTGTCCTTCCAGAGATACTATGCATTTTCAAACATATGTGTATATATACTGTCTTATCACATGCAAATAATAGCACAGGACACATGCTTTTCCAACTTGTGTTACTTCACTTGATGTATCATGAATGTTTTTTGCATGTCCCTCAAACTTTTTCAACAGCATTCTCCTTATACTGCTGGACCCTTATTTTGTAACCAGTCCCCTAATAGTAACAGTTCATTTGTTCCCATTTTTTATTGTAAATAATGTACCAACTCACATTCTTATAGAGAAATATTTGCACACATCTATGACTATTTCCTTAGGGTGAAATCCAAGAAAGCAAGCTGCTTGGCTATTTTTAAGAATTTTGATACATATTACCAATTGCCATCCAGAAAACACTCCCCTATTTGCAATTTTGAGTGCCCTGTTCCTTGCAGCCTCACTGACACTGGGTATTATCATTATCTAACCTTAGCAGTTTGATAGGCAAAATAATACTGTTTCAATGTTGATTTAACTTGCATTTCTTTGATTATTGACAAATAACATTTCATAGGCTTATTGACCATTTGTACTTCTTTTCTGTGAATTTTCTGTTTATTTGATATGGGTATGTTTATCTCTATTATTAATATGGAATTTTGTTAAGAATATTATTTTTGTCAAAAAATGCTACAAATATGCTCTCCAAGTGCTTTGCTTTCCAATTTTGCTTATGGTGCTTTTTGACATATATAAATTCTTAATTCTGCAATTAATTTGTCCCTTTGTTGCCAGCTTCTCCCAGCTACAGTTCATCCTCTCATTTCCATGCAAGGGATTCTTCTAAAACACAATCTGATCATGTCACCCCACTGCTTAAAACTCTTTATGGCTCCTCATCACTTTTAGGATAAAACTTAAACTCCTTAGCATAGCACACCAGGTCTTTGATGAGAGTTCTACCTCCTTTCCCAGGATCACTCATGGCCTACACAGTTTCCTATGATTCCCTGAGCCTGTCAGTCTCAGTCTCTGGGCATTTTTATGTGTTCCCTCTACCCAGTCTGCCATTCCTCACCTCTTCAACCTTTCATTTGCTTTTCTAGAGGCAGCTGACTTGGGCATCACTGCTAGAAAATCTGCTTGACCCCTCAGTCTGCACTCCTAAAGTT